GTAATACACAACAATCAATATGGCATGTAATTAGATTTCATTCAATCTGAAAAAAAGATGAGGACAATTTTTATCTTCTTATTATGCAGATGCTTCGCACCTTGCCCTACACGTCTCTTTCTTATTAGACTTCATGGGCCTATTAGGGGTGGCAGCCATTTTGGAGAAGAAATTGGGGTGGGTGGGTTTGTTGTTGTTGGGGTTTTTTTTTTTTGGAAAATGCTGGCAGATTATCGTTCTTCGCACATCATCATAATTCGATTGTGTTCTCTTTGAGAAGATTAAATACAGCAGTAATTTTAGGCTTGATGAATGAATCCTGTTCCTAAGTGACAGCCTGACTGGGAGGGGAAGTGGGGAAAGAAAGAAAAAAAAAACAGCATGATGTATTCATCCCACACCGCCAGGAGAGCATTTTGTAGCATGCCGCTGGTTCCACTTAGCTGAAAGGAAGAGGGGAGGAAGGGGGAAAAAGTTGGGTGAAATGTATTTTGTGGATGGAAAATTCTAGGATGGATTTTAGTATTTCTGTGGAAGAGCGCTGGAAACTTGCGAAGAAGTGTAGGCGATGACGTCTTTGAAACTGGAGTAGTTTCCCACAACCTGGATGACCTCCAAAATGTGGAGTTACAACTCCCAGAATTCCACAACTAGGAATGCTACCACTGAGAATTGTGGGAATTGAAGTCCTCACATCTGGAGGATTTGGAGAAGACCTCTAGTCTGAACCTGACCCAGAACAGAAAAGGATTCAGATGAAGTCCGGAGTGTACAACCTTCGAAGTGTTCTCTTCTTCAAGTTTAGCAGACAAAGTCCCTAATTTCCCTCATGACCTCCAAAACGTGGACCAACTCCCAGAATACCAGAAGCAGGAACGCTACTGCTGAGAATTGTGGGAATAGCTAGGAATGGAACAGCTTGCCTTTGCGGAAGCTTCCAGTGATGAAGCTTCGTGGAGCTTCATCACTGGAAGCTTTCAGGAAGAGACTGGACTGTCATCGGTCAGAAATGGTGTAGGCTCTCCTGCTTGGGCGGGGGGTTGGACTAGATGACCTATAAGGTCCCTTCCAACTCGGGTATTCTATATTCAGTGGAACAGAAGTTGTTTTCAGAGGTTGTAGGAGCTTCATCACTGGAAGCTTTCAAATAGAGACTGGGCTGCCATCTGTCAAAAATGGTGGAGGGTCTCCTTTTTGGGCGGGGGTTGGACTAGATGATCTACACGGTCCCTTCCAACTCTGTTTATAATCTGTAAAGGAACAGAATGGCAATTCTGATCGAGCTCAACAGTCGCTCTCCAAGGTCCTAATCTTGCTGCTGAAATTTGCAGGCCCGGTGACTTTAACCTATTAAGGGTCTTCAGGACTGACGGTATCTATTACATCTATTAGGGCCTCAGCGGTGCAGCTGGAATTAACCTTGATGAAGCGTTTTGTGCAGAAAAGGGCTATCATTGGCCCCAGCCGACCATTTTATATCACGGTTCAATCTCAACTGTCCCTTTGAGCAACTGAAGCTGTTTTCGAAGTTTCTGGCCACTAATTTGGACCTCCGCTTCCCTCTCCCGGAATTGCCGGGAACAAACGGAGATTTAAGTAAATACCAACCGCAAAGAAAATTGAATCAGAAGCTGAACGGGAGTAAGAAGCAAATGTTTGCTCGTTTTCCTTTCCTTCAGCCCTCTCCCGGAAGAGGATTGCACCAGCATTCCCAGTGGACAGATCAAAAGAAGGTCAACATCCACGCAACATACAAACTATGCGTTTCATGTTTCCCCTGTGGTTATAGAATCCATTTGGTGTGAATTTATAATAAACTAGCTGGATACCTATGCTTTGCGATGAAATTTTCTGATTGGGCTATGCAGGAGAAATTCAGTTCACAATCCACTGGCTCAGTGGTGGTCGGTGATTGAAACACATAAGGGAATATCGCTCTCAACGCCTTGAGTCCATAGGTGGAAGGCGTAGACATTTGGGTGAGGTACCGTTGTTTAGAGATGCGGTGGATCAGTGGCTAAGACGCTGAGCTTGTCGATCAGAAAGGTTGGCAGTTCGAATCCCTAGCGCCGCATAACGGAATGAGCTCCCGTTATTTGTCCCGGCTTCTGCCAACCTAGCAGTTCGAAAGCACATAAAAAATGCAAGTAGAAAAATAGGGATCATCTTTGATGGGAAAGTCACAGCGTTCCGTGCGCCTTCGGCGTTTAGTCATGCCGTCCACATGACCACAGAGACGTATTCGGACAGCGCTGGCTCTTCGGCTTTGAAACAGAGATGAGCACCGCCTCCTAGAGCCAGAAAAAATTAGCACGGATGTGCGGGGGAACCTTTACCTGACCAAAGTTTAAGGAGCCCCAGGCCGCTCCTGAGTGAAGGATTGGAACGTCTGCCAGTTTGAACTGAGGTGACAGAATGTGAGACAACAGGCAGTTGGAAAAGATTTCTTTTCAGGTGGGGAGGGGGAACAGAACTCCTTAGCCACAGAGCATGTTAATAATAATAATATAGGAAATATTAACGCTCTGATGGTCATTTTGAAAAATCCTTTCTTAGTGAGCACCTAGAAGCCAAGAGGAACATAGGTGCCAAATGTCAAGTTTGTAGGCTTTACGGTTCTGGAGGTTTTGTGATGATGTATGAGTGGTACTTGGCTTTATATATATATATAGATAGATAGATACTTGGTGTTTTTGCAATGAAATGCAGGTAGTCTCAAGTTACAACAGTTTGTTTAATGACCATTCAAAGTTACCACGGCGCTTTAAAATGACTTACGACCATTTTTCACACTTATGACCATTTCAGCCTCTGCACAGCCACATGATCAAACTTCCAAGGCTTGGCAACTGATTCCTCTTTATGACGGTTGTGGTGTCCAGGGGGGTTCATGCGATCCGCCTTTGCAACACACCAAGTCAAGATTCACTTAACAACCATGTTATTAACGTAACAACTGCAGTGACTCACTGTGACAACTGTGGCCAGACATGGGGCAAGACTCACTTCACACATGTCTCCCTTAGCAACAGAAATGTTGGGCTCAACTGTGGTCATAAGCTGAGGATGACCTTTAGAATGCTTAAAGGCAGAGGTTGGACACCTAGTGAATGCTAGTGGAATAAGGGTGTGACTTTCGGTGAGCATTTGTGGTGCATGTGTGTCTGTTTAATTGCAGGTTCCAGTTTAAATGATATGGGAGAGATTGAGTAACTAACATGCAGAAGTGAAATGGACCAGCTGTAGACTAATCTGTGTATTTATTATCCATGATAAAGCTCAGAGAACAATTTCCCAGTGCAATTTAGTTCTGGGTGGTGGTAATTTTGCAAAACACACCTGCAGACAAACCTGCTTCTGTTTTCTAATTGTGACAGCTGTATTCACCATTAACGTTGCACGACTTATTTTATAAACCACGAAATAGAAAGAAGCAATAGGTCTGTTACATCAGACAATATCAATTTCAAATCATTGCTTTGATTCAAGCGTGCAGCTAAGTTTGGTTTGGACTTTTTTCGTTTTTTAAGGATGCCAGCTTTAATATTTGCATTGATCCAATTTCAATAATCCAAATGAAATTATGAATTTGATTTGAGCAAGACTTCCAAATACGTAAAGAAAAATGCTTTTTGACCATGCACAGATGTATCTAAATTATCCAAATGTATCCAGAAGTATCTGATTTAATACAGTCCCAACCTTCTGATTTGATTAATATTTAATTGAATCCCTCCCAGTTGAATCTCCAAATTGAATCTTTATCTTTAATGCAAGGTAATAATTTCTCCTTTATTTGATGTCAGCTGTTAAAGCAAAATTAATACCTTTTTGGCTGCAGAGTTGTTGGAAGTTGTGTAGCACATATAACAACAACACTAATAACAATAATGAGCAAACACTCCTCCTCCAGTCAAAGGACTGATGACGGTGAAATTTAATTACACAAACATTTACACACACACAGAGGTGGCAAGAGAAAATGTACTGAAAATAGAAATAGTTCATTTCTCTAGAAGGCTGGCTCATTAACATTCTGGTTCAAGAGGTAAAGAGTAATTGTGGGTTTTGCATAAAGGAATTAGCCTGGACATTAATTTATACTTGCTAGTACCTGATGTAACTGCCTTAATATTCACTATGTTTGGTGGTTTTCTTGCAGACATTTCATTACCGAACTAGGTAACACGATCACTGCTGGAAGGGTGAAGGGTGAAGGGTTTGCATTTGGTTTATATTGTCGAGGCAAGTCATTAATATATAAACAGAGAGCAAATACCCCTTACTTCTAAAACTAACGATGTTATCTAGTTGGGTATTGAAATGTCTGGAAAAAAATCACCAAGGTCAGAGCAGGTCCAGGACTGCAGAGTCCTCCTCCTCCTCCTCCTCTTCCTCCTCCTCCTTCCAAATCTCATACCCTTCTAGCACTGCTAATGTTACTTAGTTGGGTAATGAAAAGTCTGCGACAACACTCCCAAACTCAGAGCACGTCAACCCTGAGCTACAAATATTCTCTCAATACCAACTGCTTAATATAATAGTCCATGCTTAAAAAAGCCCCCAAATAACACACAATTATTTGCTACTCAACCAGGCAAGAGCTGAACCTGCAGGTAGCTTTGCTAGCTGCTTTACTTCCTTATTATCTGCACCTCTGTGTTGTTGCTTCGCCTTCCTTACACAAACAGGAAGCTCCAATTGTGCACTGACAGGCTAAAGAGTTGAGGAAAGACAGCTTTGGAAACACAAGTTTCCCCCAAGGAAGGAGAGATCGGTTGTTAGGAGCAACGCTTGCTCCAAACACCTTCACTCCAGGGTGCATCCTGGCGTCCTTTCAATGTGTGAATATCAGACCTAGATCTCAGGCTTGAAACCACCTAATGTCTTACTCTTAACAGAAAGGAACATTTGAGTCGGAGAAATGAGTTGACAACAATGCAGTGTGACATCTCTCTGGAGTACTTGAGACAAACAAACCTCCTGAGTGATTGCGCGTCATGCAGTTCTTCAGGTACTGGCACAAAATGCGTCATGACAAGATCTTGTCTGGTTACTTGGAGGCCTCTCGGTAAAATGAACTGGAATTTAGTTAGTTGTGTTTTTTAAAATATCCTACCCTCTTTTTTTTATTATTATAAATAAATTAAGGTGGCGAACACATTCAACACACCTTCTTCCTCCTATTTGGCCCACAACAACAATCCTGTGAGGTTGGGTTGAAAGAGTGGGACTGGTCCCAAGTCATCCAGCTGGGTTTTCAACCTAAGAAAGGACTAGCTGTCAGGGTTCCGATAGATGCCCTAATTAAATGATTGACACTAGCACTCCCACTCTCCTGGTGATTGGCCCAAAGTCACCCAGTTAGCCTTGAGGCTTAAGATGGGACTAGAACTCATCATCTTCTGGTGATTGGCCCAAAGTCACCCAATTGGCTTTCATGCCTAAGGCGGGACTAGAACTCATCATCTCCCGGTGATTGGTCCAAAGTCACCCCATTAATCTTGAGGGTTAAGGTGGGACTAGGGCTCATCATCTTCTGGTGATTGGCCCAAAGTCACCCAATTGGCCTTCATGCCTAAGGCAGGACTAGAACTCATCATCTCCTGGTGATTGGTCCAAAGTCACCCCATTAATCTTGAGGGTTAAGGTGGGGCTAGGGCTCATCATCTCCTGGTGATTGGCCTAAAATCACCCAGTTGGCTTTCATGCCTAAGATGAAACTAGAACTCACAATCTCCTGGTTTCTAGCTTGGTGCCTTAGACCAAACTGGCTACAAAGCTCTATCAATGCAGATTATTTCCAACCCTGCTTGGCTAGCAACCGGCAGATTATTGATTTAAACTTTAAAAGAGAGCCAGTGGCAATGGGTGTTTTTGGTTGCTTGGGTGTCCGAGGCACGTAGAAATGGAACAGGGTTTGCCTCTTAATGCTGCTTACCTCATTCGGATGTTTCTCTCTCTCTCTCTCCCACTTCCTCCATTCTACTGAGGCCACTTGATAGCATGAAGATCAATCCATCCTTATGAATAATCATGCTCTTTGATGAAACATCGTTAGAGGGGGAGCTTAAGTGATTCCTTGGGTTGATTCCCAGCATTGTTTAACCAGTGTTCATACACTTAGTAGGAACTCTGCCCACATAGCGTGTTTGTGGACTCTTTGCAACGTCATCATCATCAGAATTGGAAGGGACCTTGGAGGTCTTCTAGTCTAACCCCCTGCTCCGGCAGGAAGCCCCATACCATTTCAGACAAATGGCTGTCCAGTCTCTTTCTAAAAACCTCCAGTGTTTGGAGCACCCACATCTTTTAGACGCCAGCCGTTCCACTGGTTAATTGTTCTCACTGTTGGGAAATTTCTCCCTAATTCTAGGTTGTTCTCTCCCTGATTAGCTTCCATTCATTGTTTCTTGCTTTGGAAAATAAGGTGACGCTCCCCTCTTCTTTGTGGCAGCCCCACAAATATTGGGAAACATCTCTCATGTCACCCCTAGTCTTTCTTTTCACTAGAAAGACCTACCCAATACGCGTTCTTCATATATTTTAGCCTCTGGCCCCTTTATCATCTTAGTTGCTCTTTACAGAGTCTCAAATTCTTCTATAAATTGTGGTGACCAAAACTCTATGCTGTATTCCAGTACCATATATAGCAGCACTGATTGATTGAGGGGGGATCCCTTGGATACTCTGGCCTTAGGATGAAGTTTATACCGCTCGCTACTCCAAAGGGGGTTAGTCCCATGCGTCTGTGAACAGCATTAATATACGCAACCTCTGGCAAAAGTTGGCTACACCTTTTTTTCTGACTGGAATGCTTTCTGAGTTGACAGCAGGCCCAGGCAAACACCGCACAAAGGCATCCTGAAACTGTTGTGCACGTGAAACTTACTTCCATGACTTTCTCACCAACCATTGCTAAGAGTGAACCAAACAACGACAGTAATTGGAAATATTCAAAGCTTGGGTTGTATTTTGGCAGGAGAGAAGGATCCTCAGAAGCTACTCAAGGTTGGGTTCTAGTTGGCCAAGATGATTAATTTTCACTAAGTCATCCTGAGTTCAGTTTTTTTTTTTCCTTTCCAGATTTAATTGGCTGGAAAATAGAGACAATTTCGTTCCCTTCTGTCTTTGAAGAGCCACCTGGCTCATCTGAAAAATACTTGCTAACATTTTGTTCTGAAGCAGAGTATATTTATAGAAAAGAGCAAGACCCGTGTGTTTGTGTATATTTTTTTTAACCCTCCTTTTCCTGAGGACAGGTTTCTTCATTCTATAAATATACTCAGGCACAATTTTAATCGGGAGCTGATCGTAATATCAGTTGGTGGCTGTGTACTGTCAAAGGATTAATGGAGGCAGCTAAATCTAGAAACCAAACAGCCTCCTCCTTCTGCACCGAAGCCGGAATTATGTTTATAAAATCTTTCTCAAAAAAAGGAAGCCATCGTGGGAAAAGTGGCTTTAAATTCATAGAATCCATTTTAGAGCTTCCTATTTTCACTTATCCATGTTTCCTTCCTGAAAAAATACTATCTCAAGATTTGCCTTGGAAGAATGGTTTGAGGTTTGCATTGGGGAAATTTGAGACCATTCAAAATTCTGATTATATTTATATAGTTGCAGATATATTCCCAACAGTTTTCATCTGTCTGCCTGCCTGCCTGCCTGCCTGCCTGCCTGCCTGTCTATTGCTCTATGTATCAGACAGCCAGCCATCTCTCTCTATCTGTCTGTGTCTGTCTGTCTATCAATCTATATCTATCTAATCTATCTATCATCTGTCTTTCTGTCTATGCATCATCCATCCATCCATCCATCCATCCATCCATCCCTCCATGTCTGTCTGTCTGTCTGTCTGTCTGTCTGTCTGTCTATCTATATCTATCTATCTATCTATCTATCTATCTATCTATCTATCTATCTATCTATCTATCATCTATCTATCTATCTATCTATCTATCTATCTATCTATCTATCTATC